CGGGCCTTCGGCCCTCGCTTCTCAAAATTTTTCAGAAGCAAAACTTTGCTTCAAGTTTAAGTGGATGTCAGCTCGGGCCTTCGGCCCTCGCTTCTCAAAATTTTTCAGAAGCAAAACTTTGCTTCAAGTTTAAGTGGATGTCAGCTCGGGCCTTCGGCCCTCGCTTTTTAAAATTTTTCAGAAGCAAAACTTTGCTTCAAGTTTAAGTGGATGTCAGCTCGGGCCTTCGGCCCTCGCTTTTTAAAATTTTTCAGAAGCAAAACTTTGCTTCAACTTTAAGTGGATGTCAGCTCGGGCCTTCGGCCCTCGCTTTTTAAAAAATCTTTGAAGCAAAACTTTGCTTCAACTTTAAGTGGATGTCAGCTCGGGCCTTCGGCCCTCGCTTCTCAAAATTTTTCAAAGCAAAACTTTGCTTCAAGTTTTAGTGGATGTCAGCTCGGGCCTTCGGCCCTCGCTTTTTAAAATTTTTCAGAAGCAAAACTTTGCTTCAACTTTAAGTGGATGTTAGCTCGGGCCTTCGGCCCTCGCTTTTTAAAAAATCTTTGAAGCAAAACTTTGCTTCAACTTTAAGTGGATGTCAGCTCGGGCCTTCGGCCCTCGCTTCTCAAAATTTTTCAAAGCAAAACTTTGCTTCAAGTTTTAAGTGGATGTCAGCTCGGGCCTTCGGCCCTCGCTTCTCAAAAATTTTTAGAAACAAAACTTTGCTTCAAGTTTATGTGGATGTCAGCTCGGGTCTTCGGCCCCTCAATTTTTGGATTGAAATGGATATAATGAACTATGTACAAAACGTACGAAGATGAGATTATGATTAAATTGAGGTACATACAGGGGGCTATTAATGGTGTGGTTGGGATAAATTATTGATGGATTTTTGGATGGATATCAGCTCGGGCCTTCGGCCCAAACTTATCAAAAGTAACAATTTTGGATTTTAACTGGATATACTGAACTATGTACAAAACATATGAAGATGAATTTATTATTAAATTGAAGCACATGCAGTGGGCTATTAATGGTGTGGTTGGGATAAATTATTGATGGATTTTTGGATGGATATAAGCTCGGGCCTTCGGCCCTCGCTTCAAAAAAATTTTTGAACTTAATTTTTCTTCAAATTTTAAGTGGATGTCAGCTCGAGCCTTCGGCCCTCGCTTCTCAAAATTTTTTAGAAGCAAAACTTTGCTTCAAATTTTAAGTGGATGTCAGCTCGGGCCTTCGGCCCTCGCTTTTTAAAAAATCTGAAGCAAAACTTTGCTTCAAGTTTATGTGGATGTCAGCTCGGGCCTTCGGCCCTCGCTTCTCAAAATTTTTTGAAGTTTTTTAAAAAAATCTGAAGCAAAACTTTGCTTCAAGTTTAACTGGATGTCAGCTCGGGCCTTCGGCCCTCGCATCTCAAAATTTTTTAGAAGCAAAACTTTGCTTCAAGTTTAAGTGGATGTCAGCTCGAGCCTTCGGCCCTCGCTTCTCAAAATTTTTTAGAAGCAAAACTTTGCTTCAAATTTTAAGTGGATGTCAGCTCGGGCCTTCGGCCCTCGCTTTTTAAAAAATCTGAAGCAAAACTTTGCTTCAAGTTTATGTGGATGTCAGCTCGGGCCTTCGGCCCTCGCTTCTCAAAATTTTTTGAAGTTTTTTAAAAAAATCTGAAGCAAAACTTTGCTTCAAGTTTAACTGGATGTCAGCTCGGGCCTTCGGCCCTCGCTTCTCAAAATTTTTTAGAAGCAAAACTTTGCTTCAAATTTTAAGTGGGTGTCAGCTTCAGATCCATGCTTGGATCCAGCTTATCCCCCCACAAATTTTGCCCAGATATACAAAATTCAGCCTTAAACTCTTCTCCGGTTTGCCCCGCATGGTCAGAGACGGAGAAATTTCGCCTCTCTGCCATCAACTTCACCTGTCAATCATTTCTTCTCTCTCCCTACCATAATTCTCCGGATACGGCAATCCACTCCACAGCTCGGGCCTTCGGCTCTCGCTTCTCAAAAATTACTGTTTTTGAATGGATATCAACTCGGGCCTTCGGCCCTCGCTTCTCAAATGTTTTAAATTTTGGATTTTAAATGGATATACTGAACTATCTGCAATACTTTTGAAGATAATTTTAAGGTTAAATTGAAGCACATACAGGGGGCTATTAATGGTGTGGTCGGGATAAATTTTTGATCACGGATATCGGATTTCGAACTTCAAAAAACAAAATTTCAGTTTGAAGCAAATTTGCTTCAAAAAACAAACATACAAAAAACTGAAGCAAATTTGCTTCTAAAACAAAATTTCAAAATTTGAAGCAAAATAGCTTCAAACCCAAAAATTTCAAAAGTTGAAGCAAATTTGCTTCAAGTTTCAAAAATTCAAAACTTGAAGCAATTTTGCTTCACATTTCGAAATTCGAAACTTGAAGCAATGCTTCGACAAAATTTTGCTTAAGCTTCAAAAGTTGAAGCAGAAACATGAAGCAGAAGCAAGCTTCTGCTTCGGATCCATCCTCGGATCCAGCTTATCCACCCACTAAATTTCCCCAGATATACAAAATTCAACTTCAAACTCTTCGACGGTTTGCCCCGCATGGTCAGAGACGCAGAAAAATTTTGCTTCTCTTCCACTCATTTCACCTGTCAATCATTTTTCCTCTCTCCCTACCATAATTCTCCGTGTACTGTACTCACCCCCACAAATTTTCGAACCTCTGTACTTTCGTCAAAATGTACCAAAAAAATTCGAAAAAAATATTTTTGAACTCAGCTCAGCGAGGGCTTTCGAATGATATACAATTTACCATATCTATCTTTATTTTTGAAAAAATAATTTTTTGGTCGGAAATTTTGGCCGAAAAAATTGCCGAAATTTTAAAAAATTCATAACTTAGCCAAAGTAAAGCTTTCTGATAATTTTAAAATCCTATTCTACGAAGAAAAATCTACTCTATAAGAGAAAAATAGATTTACACTCATCCTCCAACAAAAAACCAAAAAAATTTTCATAAAACCGAAAAATTTTTGATTTTTAAAAACCCGACCCCTACGGCTCCAACTTTGAAGTTTTTCAGAATTTTTAGACTTTAAAAAATTTTTAATTTTTAGTACTGTTTTATAAAAGAAATCTCATCCAAAAATCTCAACCCCTTAAATAGTTATGATTTTTTAAATATTTCCGAATAATTTTTGGAAGGGGTACCCCTTTGAAAAAATCGAGGGTATAAAATTTTTCAATTGTAGCTCGAAAAACGTGTTTTATGATGAAACCAAACACGCTTAGTCAGAATCCGAAGTCGAAAAAATTCTAAAAAATTTTCCCGAAAAGTTATAGTCGAAAAACCATTTCAGTCTCAGACTTTTGGAAATTTAAATGGATATACTGAACTGTATACAATACTTATGAAGACAATTATACTATTAAATTGAAGCACATACAGGGGTCTATTAATGGTGTGGTCGGGATAAGATTTTGATAGATTTAAGTTCCCGAAAATTAGCCCAAAAACCATATCAGTCCCAGACTCAAATCTCGATTTTCTAACTACAAACTTCGAAATTAGTCTTTCTGGTTAATCCCAAAGGAATCCCCGTTGGATATGCTTTCGAATGACTACTCATTCACCCATATCCATTTAAATCCCAAATCCCGGAAATGTCGAATCTCGAAGTTTGACTTCTAAACTTCAAGTTTCAACATTGTTATTAATCCCACTGATATCCCCTCACTCCCCGCTCTCGAATGACTACTCATTCGACCATATTTAAAGATCCCTGAAATGTCGGATTCGAAGTTCGACTTCGAATTTCGACCCATAATTTATCCCATTGATACCCTGACATTATCAGCTTTCGAATGAGTACTTATTAGACCATATTCGAAATCTTCGAAAATCCCGGAAATCCCTGATCCAACTTCGAACTTTGAATTTCGACTTCTAACATATCCCATTGATCCCCGCTCATGATCCGCTTTCGAATGACTACTCATTCGACCATATTCGATCTCTTCGAAAATCCCGGAAATGTCGAACCGAAGTTCGAACTTCGAATTTCGACTTCTAATATATCCCATTGATCCCCCCTCATTATCCGCTTTCGAATGACTACTCATTCGACCATATTCGTACTCTTCGAAAATCCCGGATTTCGAAGTTCGACTTCGAAATTCGACTTTCAATACTTCTAACATATCCCATTGATCATCTTTCATTATCCGCTTTCGAATGACTACTCATTCGACCCATTTGAAAATGTCGAAAATCCCGGATCCGATTTTCGACTTCCAAATTCGACTTTTACTACCCCTAACATATCCCATTGATCTCCCCTTTATCCCAGCTCTCGAATGACTACCCATACACCCATACTTCGAAATCCCGAAAAACCCGGAAATGTCGAACCGAAGTCGAAATCCTCTTAATACCCCTTTATACTCATACTCAGGCATCCCTACTACTATATTTTCGAATTTCCCTGAAAATTTTTAAAAAATTTAAATTTCCGCCAAAAAAACCTATTTGAGTACGAATTGGACACTTCAGGCTCACGAGGCTACAGACTTTTGGTTTGACATTTTCGACCCGAATTTTTTGGATTCGACATCTCCTAATAGTGGCACATCCGCCTCCCAGCAGAAATTTTCCGGTATCTCCTACCCCTGCAAAGATAGCCAAAGTTCGAACCCGGTTTCGACCCCTTCCGGCAATTTTTAGAACTCGGCTATATTTTTCCTAAACGGCCCGGACAAAGTACCCGGCAGGATGTAAAACTCCCATGCACGTAAATCCACTCAAATCCGAGTTCTGATTTTTTAAAATCGAACTTCCACATTTTTATATAAGTATGTAACTAGATGTAATACATATGCAATGGCGGTAAGTTACGTATGCACTGGAATTTAATAGGCGGAGCCTTTGGTTACGATACTTTTGCCCGTTGGAAAGCCTAACGGCTTTGGGGCGCGCTTCGCGCGCTGCTAGAAATTTTTTCTGCTACATTTAATAAAAAGCCCTGGAAATCTCGTCGGGCCTTCGGCCCGCCGCGTTTAAAAATTCTCGGCCCTCGCGATTCATTTTGGGGTGGATCTTAAGCTCGGGCCTTCGGCCCTCGCGATTAATTTTGGGATGGATCTTAAGCTCGGGCCTTCGGCCCTCGCGACCCATTTTGAGATGGATCTTAAGCTCGGGCCTTCGGCCCTCGCGATCCATTTTGGGATGGATCTTCAGCTCGGGCCTTCGGCCCTCGCCGGTAAAATTTAGCCCTGCCTTTTCATCGCTTCGGGCCTTCGGCCCTCGCGATTCGTTTTGGGATAAGTCTTAAGCTCAGGCCTTCGGCCCTCGCGATCGTTCTTGGATGGGTCTTAAACTCGGGCCTTCGGCCCTCGCGATCCATTTTGGGATGGATCTTAAGCTCGGGCCTTCGGCCCTCGCGATTCGTTTTGTAGGGATCTTAAGCTCGGGCCTTCGGCCCTCGCGATTAATTTTGGGATGGATCTTAAGCTCGGGCCTTCGGCCCTCGCGACCCATTTAGAGATGGATCTTAAGCTCGGGCCTTCGGCCCTCGCAACCCATTTTGTGATGGATTTTATGCTCGGGCCTTCGGCCCTCGCGACCCATTTTGTGATGGATCTTAAGCTCGGGCCTTCGGCCCACGCGATTCGTTTTGGGATGGATCTTAAGCTCGGGCCTTCGGCCCTCGCGATTCGTTTTGGGATGGGTCTTAAGCTCTGGCCTTCGGCCCTCGCACGGCGGGCCTCCGGCCCGCCGTTTGGGGGCCTTTGGCCCCCAAATCACCCACATCCAAAATTTCGACCTTTTGTAACTTTGTACAAAATGGTCAGAAAATTCCAGAAAAAATATTTTCTTGCTCAGCTTGATGAGAGCTTTCGATTGATATAACATTTGCCCTATATTATGTCATTTTGGAAAAAATAATTTTTTGGCCGAAAATTTCGACCGAAAAATTCCCGTAATTTTTCAAAAATTCATAACTCCCCAAAAATAAAACCTTTTGAAACATTTTAAAAGCTTAATATATAGTAAAAATTCTGCTCTATTTTATAAAAATATAATAAACCACCCTCAGCCTCAATTTTTAAATAGCTCAAAAAATTTGTAATTTTTTGCTCTATTTTATAACGCTCAATTCGTTCGGCTACGTCAAAAAATTACAAAGTTATGCCCAATTTAAATTTCACCAAAAAATTTCAAAAGGGGTTCAAAAAATGTGCCCTTCAAAAATGGGTCAAAAATTCGACCTCGAGAAAAATATGTTTTATGGTACTCCAAAGGGTGCTGAACACGAATCCGAACTCCGTTTATTTTTAAAAATTTTTTAAAAAAAGTTACACTCAAAAAACCGGCCACTTTTGGCCCCGAAAATGCCACTTTTTGCCCTATAACTTTCCCAGACTCAAGTGTACCCCAAACAAAGTATATATTTTTAGAGGTTTCAAGGGACGCTCTACAAGATAGGATACTCAAATCGAGTTTCAATTCACGCGTTAAAAAGTCGGTTTTGGCGAGGTCACTTTGGTGCCCATAACTATGTCAGGAAAAAATCCCAGACTCAAGTGTCCCCCAACAAAATTGTTTTATACTCATACTCAGGCATCCCTACTACTATATTTTCGAATTTCCCTGAAAATTTTTAAAAAATTTAAATTTCCGCCAAAAAAACCTATTTGAGTACGAATTGGACACTTCAGGCTCACGAGGCTACAGACTTTTGGTTTGACATTTTCGACCCGAATTTTTTGGATTCGACATCTCCTAATAGTGGCACATCCGCCTCCCAGCAGAAATTTTCCGGTATCTCCTACCCCTGCAAAGATAGCCAAAGTTCGAACCCGGTTTCGACCCCTTCCGGCAATTTTTAGAACTCGGCTATATTTTTCCTAAACGGCCCGGACAAAGTACCCGGCAGGATGTAAAACTCCCATGCACGTAAATCCACTCAAATCCGAGTTCTGATTTTTTAAAATCGAACTTCCACATTTTTATATAAGTATGTAACTAGATGTAATACATATGCAATGGCGGTAAGTTACGTATGCACTGGAATTTAATAGGCGGAGCCTTTGGTTACGATACTTTTGCCCGTTGGAAAGCCTAACGGCTTTGGGGCGCGCTTCGCGCGCTGCTAGAAATTTTTTCTGCTACATTTAATAAAAAGCCCTGGAAATCTCGTCGGGCCTTCGGCCCGCCGCGTTTAAAAATTCTCGGCCCTCGCGATTCATTTTGGGGTGGATCTTAAGCTCGGGCCTTCGGCCCTCGCGATTAATTTTGGGATGGATCTTAAGCTCGGGCCTTCGGCCCTCGCGACCCATTTTGAGATGGATCTTAAGCTCGGGCCTTCGGCCCTCGCGATCCATTTTGGGATGGATCTTCAGCTCGGGCCTTCGGCCCTCGCCGGTAAAATTTAGCCCTGCCTTTTCATCGCTTCGGGCCTTCGGCCCTCGCGATTCGTTTTGGGATAAGTCTTAAGCTCAGGCCTTCGGCCCTCGCGATCGTTCTTGGATGGGTCTTAAACTCGGGCCTTCGGCCCTCGCGATCCATTTTGGGATGGATCTTAAGCTCGGGCCTTCGGCCCTCGCGATTCGTTTTGTAGGGATCTTAAGCTCGGGCCTTCGGCCCTCGCGATTAATTTTGGGATGGATCTTAAGCTCGGGCCTTCGGCCCTCGCGACCCATTTAGAGATGGATCTTAAGCTCGGGCCTTCGGCCCTCGCAACCCATTTTGTGATGGATCTTATGCTCGGGCCTTCGGCCCTCGCGACCCATTTTGTGATGGATCTTAAGCTCGGGCCTTCGGCCCACGCGATTCGTTTTGGGATGGATCTTAAGCTCGGGCCTTCGGCCCTCGCGATTCGTTTTGGGATGGGTCTTAAGCTCTGGCCTTCGGCCCTCGCACGGCGGGCCTCCGGCCCGCCGTTTGGGGGCCTTTGGCCCCCAAATCACCCACATCCAAAATTTCGACCTTTTGTAACTTTGTACAAAATGGTCAGAAAATTCCAGAAAAAATATTTTCTTGCTCAGCTTGATGAGAGCTTTCGATTGATATAACATTTGCCCTATATTATGTCATTTTGGAAAAAATAATTTTTTGGCCGAAAATTTCGACCGAAAAATTCCCGTAATTTTTCAAAAATTCATAACTCCCCAAAAATAAAACCTTTTGAAACATTTTAAAAGCTTAATATATAGTAAAAATTCTGCTCTATTTTATAAAAATATAATAAACCACCCTCAGCCTCAATTTTTAAATAGCTCAAAAAATTTGTAATTTTTTGCTCTATTTTATAACGCTCAATTCGTTCGGCTACGTCAAAAAATTACAAAGTTATGCCCAATTTAAATTTCACCAAAAAATTTCAAAAGGGGTTCAAAAAATGGGCCCTTCAAAAATGGGTCAAAAATTCGACCTCGAGAAAAATATGTTTTATGGTACTCCAAAGGGTGCTGAACACGAATCCGAACTCCGTTTATTTTTAAAAATTTTTTAAAAAAAGTTACACTCAAAAAACCGGCCACTTTTGGCCCCGAAAATGCCACTTTTTGCCCTATAACTTTCCCAGACTCAAGTGTACCCCAAACAAAGTATATATTTTTAGAGGTTTCAAGGGACGCTCTACAAGATAGGATACTCAAATCGAGTTTCAATTCACGCGTTAAAAAGTCGGTTTTGGCGAGGTCACTTTGGTGCCCATAACTATGTCAGGAAAAAATCCCAGACTCAAGTGTCCCCCAACAAAATTGTAGTACATTTAGTGCCCTATTATACCAAAAAAGAGTTGAAACCATTTGCCCTCTCTTAAGCAATTTTATAATTACATTCGATGGGAGCCACCCTTCCCGATAGGGGTTCTGGACATTTTGGACCTTTTGAGTCTCATAACTTTGCCCAAAATGGTCAGAAAAATTTGAACCAAATTTTTTCAGACCCACCACATGGAGCTCTATCGAATGGCATATAGTTTGAAAATTGTCGGTGATTTTCGTCGGACACCATGTGTCATTTTTGGACGAGATGTACAATTTTTAGCCAAGGCCACAGCCTCAGGCGTTCATCCGATCCCTCCCAAATTTTTCCTACGATATAGTACACATCCCAACTTAAAATCCTCCCAGCAAGCATTTTTCAATCCAACTTCACCCCTCCTCGCTATTTCCATTTGAAAAACCACCCATGGCCGTTTCAGTGCGAAAACGACGTTTCAGCGCCGAGGTTAGAGTTTTCCTGAATAGAGCGTAAAAAGTTGCAGGACAAATGTACCCTTCAAAAAATTCCAGCCGCCGGCCTTCGGCCGGCGGAATTTTTGAAAAGGATTTTCTCCCCAAAAAGAGGGGCACTACCAAGATTTTTATTAAATATATAACTAGCTGTGGGTTACGTATGCGATGGCGGTAACTTACGTATGCAATTCCTATTAGGATACTTTAGGTTTAATAGCATTCTGCCCGTTGGAAAGCCTAACGGCTTTGGGGCGCGCTTCGCGCGCTGCTAGAAACGGTATATTTTGCCCTGCCTTTTCATTGCTCCTTCAAAAAATTCCAGCCGCCGGCCTTCGGCCGGCGGAATTTTTGAAAGCAATTTTCTCCCATAAAAAAATCGAACATCAAGATTTTTATTAAATATATAACCAGCGTTCGGCGCGAATTGCCGACATGTAAATAAGCTTTTTGGGTATAAAGGCTGACTCCAGCGTTATTACAACGCATTTAAATTAATTTGGATCAATTTCCCAGCATTTGAAAACTTCAGACTCAAATATCCATTCTCAGACTCAAGTGACACCTTTGAAAATATCTTCATTCGATTCCTCATTCAATTCCCTATCGAATGACACCTCAAGCGTCTTTCTATGACTAATACTTCAAAAGTTATAAATTTTTGAAAAAAAAAACAAAAAATAATATTAATAACATGCGGGCCTTCGGCCCGCATGTTAATAATTAATACTAAAATATTTTTCAGATTCTCGCGGTTGCCTCCGACAACGCGTTTAGTGCAACGCGTTCCGAATTTAAAAAATTGAAATTCTGGCGGTTGCCTTCGGCAACGTATTCATTGCAACGCGTTACATGCGGGCCTTCGGCCCGCAATTTTTCTGCCTCCGGCAACGCGTTTTATGCAACGCGTTCCGAAATTTAAAAAAAATAATTTTTAATTTTGGCGGTTGCCTCCGGCAACGCGTTTTATGCAACGCGTTCCGAAATTTAAAAAAATAATTTTTAATTCTGGCGGTTGCCTCCGGCAACGCGTTTTCTGCACGCGTTCCGAAATTAAAAAAAAATAATTTTTAATTTTGGCGGTTGCCTCCGGCAACGCGTTTTATGCAACGCGTTCCGAAATTAAAAAAAATAATTTTTAATTCTGGCGGTTGCCTCCGGCAACGCGTTTTCTGCACGCGTTCCGAATTTTTAAAAAATAATTTTTAATTCTGGCGGTTGCCTCCGGCAACGCGTTCCGAATTTTTAAAAATAATTTTTAATTCTGGCGGTTGCCTCCGGCAACGCGTTCCGAATTTTTAAAAAATAATTTTTAATTCTGGCGGTTGCCTCCGGCAACGCGTTTTCTGCAGCGCGTTGCTATTTCATCAAAAGACAATTTTTAATTCTCGCGGTTGCCCCCGGCAACGCGTTCCAAATTTTTAAAAAATAATTTTTAATTCTGGCGGTTGCCTCCGGCAACGCGTTTTCTGCAACGCGTTTCGATTTCCTCAGAAAATAATTTTTAATTCTGGCGGTTGCCTCCGGCAACGCGGTATCTGCAACGTGTTACGAATTTTTTAAATTAAATTAAACGTAAAATTAACTTATAAATTAATTTGCCTTATTTTTATAAAATTTTATAAAAATTTTCAGTCCCAGACTGAAAGTTATAAATGAGACTCAAGTGTACTTTTTACTAAAAATTCATTTTTTAATATTCTTATTAATTTTTAGAATTTTTTATATTCATTTCCACTGATTTTAGCATTCAGACTCAAATATTCCACCCTCAGACTCAAGTGACCCCTTCAAAAAATTTTCAAAAAATTCGCTTGATTTTTACACGTCGAATGACACCTCAATCATATTTTTCCGATAACTACTTCAAAAGTTACAAAAAACGCCTCACCGTTGCTTAACTTTCCAGATCGGACGGGTTAGATCGGCAAATTTAAAAATTTTTCCCCAAAATTTTAATTTCTTAAAAAATTCATAACTCGGTCCAAAAAAGTTAAATTAACATAAAACAAAGCTTATTCGATGCAGAATTTAATTCTCTATCTTTCATCTCCCAACAATTTTCGTCTAACTCTGAAATAAAACATAGTTAAGGTTACTTCTATGCAACCTCCTCAAAATTTCAATTTTTACTCCATATCTTTTTTTCTGTTAATCCAATCAAGGTGAAACCAACTTTTTTCTTAAGAAACCCACCACGCTCTACAACTTTACTCCCAACGACTTTTTCCTATCTCGTCGATAAACACCTTAAATCCAAAGTTACCACTTTGACAAAAAAGTTTGTCTTCAGCACATCTACCCTTCCCGTTGTCAGAACGACTCCAACTTTTTTTCTATCATATTCGAAATATGCTCTAGATGATACCTTGTAACTGACCCAACTTCCCCCGACTTCATCTTTATATTCAAATTTCACTTCAAAGTTTCGAAAAAACACGTTTTTTCAAAATATCTAAAAAACTCGCCCCTTTCCCCCCACTTTTCCGATTTTTCCTGAAAACTACATTAAATTTCCCATCTATAGCAAAAGACCCCACCCCGATACACCCACTCAAAAGCTCTGGGGACTTTTTTTTAGCTGACTGCCTTTTTACTATTATATATAGATAAACTACATAACTAGCCCGCTTCGCGGGCTAGTTATGTAGTATGATTCTATACTCTATATTTCGTACCTATGCTTTATCCGTAATACGTTTGGCCTTGGCTGTAAAAAGGTGACCCTATGGGCGTTGGAACCTAAGCCTTGCCCGTTAGGGCCTTCGGCCCAAACTTCGTCCGCTCCGCGGCCGAATGGGCGCTGCGCGCCCATGGAGGCGCGAAACTGTTGCGAGGTTTAGTTACGTTGCTCTGCCTTCCGGGGCTGCCTCTAGGCGCTACGCGCGGTCAAAACATATAAATTGCGTAAATTTGAAATTGTCAGACTCAAGTGTCCAACTATAAAAATTCGGTTAAAATGCTTTGCAAGCACTCACATGCCCGCTCCGCGGTGCCTCAAGCCCTACAATAAAATTTTTCAAAAAATTTTTTTTCAGACTCAAGTGACCCCCTCAAAAATATTTTATTTATACTTTTCATTCGATTCCACGTTGATTTATGCTTTGCACTCACTCACATGCCCGCTCCGCGGTAACCCTCAT